CATACCACCACTCTGATCAGAACACTGCACTAGCTGAAGTGCACTGAAGTGTAGTGGAAACCTTCACACTCTCCCAGAAGCTCCTGGGTCCCTTACTTAGCTTCTAGTATAAGTGCTATTGCCATGGTTGCTCTTTGCTATTTCTTGAACATGGTCCTATCTCGTGGCCACTGCATTTGCTGCAGCCTCTGCCTGCAATGCCCGTCTTCCAGATATGAGCATGGCTTGCCCACAGCCTCCAGCCAGTGTTTGCCCAGATGTCACCTGCTCAATCAGTGACACTTTTTCTGACCTCCCTGGTTTAAATTGCAACTCCCCAACCCCATCATTCCTTATGTTCTTTCTGTTTCTGCATAGCATGTATTATTCTCTAAAACTGTATGGAGTATGTGTATTAGTTTTGTTTATTGTCTACCCTCCAAGAAGGCAGAGATTTATCTCACTTTTTGTCTTCTCTATGATACTGGCCTATCATAGTGCTTGATACATAATAGATGTTCAGATGCTCTGTAAATAGCTGTTGAAAGAGGGAAGGGTGGGAAAATGAAAGGAAGGAAGGAAAGAAAGAAAAGGAAAAGGAAAGGATGATATCTAAGTATAATTTTACAAAGAACTGAGGTCAAGGTGTGGCCTGAACTGTCTTTCCCTGGAATAGTCACGCTTCATGTTAGCATGACCCTGTCTCTCCCCAGAGCAGGCAGTACAGCCGAAGGTGCCACATCATCACGGATGCTCTAACATTCCACCTGGAAAGGGATGAGAGGGCTTTGATTTAACATGAGGCTGGGCTTCCCAGCACACACATGAGAGTTCGAAAATCTCAGTCACCATTCACTCAGGAACCCAGCCCAGAAATAAATGTTATATCATTTTATTTGGAATGCCCAGCCATCCATAGTTCAGAATACAAAGTTCTTAAATCTCCCCAGGATCTTTCTTGGGCAGTGGCAGCCGCACAGCTGTGAATGGTATTAAGGGCTATTTTGTGTGGCAGATTGTTCACTATACAAAGCACAGTAGAGGGTTTGAGATATTTTTAGTTATGAAATTTCCAAATAGGCATCGCTGTCATTTACAACTTGGAACAGTTTGTGTGCAGAAAATACTTGGTTAATTTGATCTTTGGTCTTAAGACAAAAGTACACCTTACTCCAAGTGCAGACCAGAGAGTTGTAGACAGAAGTTGAGGCTCTGTTGGGTGGACTTTGTAGTGACCTTCTATATTGCCACGCTGGAGGGTGACAAGAAAATGCAGTCTGGTAACCACATGGCCTCCAGCAGAGATTTCTCAGGCTCAACCAAATGAGTTACAATAGAATGGAGCAAGCACTAGAGAAATACAACTGGGTTCTGCTAGAAGTTAGGTGTCATAAATGAGAAATTAAGTGTCTTGACTTTTGTAATAAATCCTGTAAGTTAATCAATTGGGGCACTTACTTCTTTGACCAGAAGTGGAGTCAGGTGACAAGAACGAAAATATAAAAGAAAGGAGGAGAATATGGTCTATAAGAGGAGAATGACCTGGGGAAGACAGAAACAAAAGCTGAGATTGTGGGTAATAGTTGCTTCTTTAAATTTTACATGGTTTATTTGAATCTTAGTTTTATCAAAATTTGGGCTGGAGATAGAGCTCAGCAGCACAAGCACCTGCCTGGCAAGCACAAGGTCCTCAGTTTGACTTCTGGTACCCCCCGCAAAATCCAATTTTTAATGAAATTTACCCTAAGTGCTGTTAAAGCACTTTTAAGGGGCTTGATTTAACAAGTGTTTTGTTCTATTAGAGATAATTCTGCCATATTCTTCAGTTTAGCATTTAAGAAATTTTAACTAAATTTTTTTTAAAGTTCCCATTTAAGAATAATGTATTGCTACAATCTGATGTAAAACTTTGTGTTGTTGTGTACACAACTGCACATCATAACAAAACAACAAAAAAGCAAACAATAACTACATGCTTAAATGTGTGAGATGCCTAACGCATGCTAACATTTCGTGATGTGAAGTGTGTTTTTGCATCCAGTCTGTGAGAAATGCCAGCCAAATTTGTTGATGTCAGTTTCAGTGAAACAGCTAGAGAAATTATATGACCAAGAAAGCAATTATCAATCAAAGCTATATTATCAGTCAACGCTGGAAACATCAGATTATATATCTGCTTCTATGTACAGGGCACGTTGGTCTACTTCAGAGACCATGGGCCCTTCAATTTTGGATGAATGATGATTATTTTGAATGAAGTGAAGCAAGTTCTGGGAGTGGGGGCAAGACCATTCCTTGATGCTTTTGTGTCCCTCATAGTGAGGGTGGCCGTCTGTCCCTGGAGGACAATCCGGGCGGGTGCTGGGCATGTTGTGCCATCAGAGACAAAGCCTCTCTACCTCCAACCGGAACACGGCAGGTCTGGAGGTCAGCAGTAGTTTCAGGTGAGATCTGGGACTGCCGCTGACACCTGATGCTGGTGGACTTGAACAAGAGCAGGATTACACAGCTTTCACCAGCACAGTGGTGAGGAGGGTGGAACCCCCCCCCCACACACACACACATACACATTGGAGTTTCTCCCTTGCTCAGCAGTCGTGGGAGTGAGTTTATAGTTAGTCATCTGTCTTTGTTGTCTTCCTGCTCTTTCAGGCCTGGAAACCACAAGCAAAGAAGATACCAGACACTCCCAGGGCAGTTTTCAGGATGAACAAGGAAGGCTTGTTCACAGTAGGAGAAAGTATTCAGTGTGCATATGATCAAACAGGCTGAGCTTAATAGTGCAGGCAGAAGAAATCGCTCCTTTTGATTACCACTCAGCATTTGGGGCTTATTTCATTTAGTATTTCTAATTTTTAAAAATTTTGTAACAGAAATAGAGAACCAGATCTAGAATGCCACAGCAAAAAACAGAGTGGAAAACCCCTGTATCTCTATCCATGAGTCCTTTAGATATCTATATTGAAGGCATATATATATAAGAGCACCAAAAATGTATACATACTTCAGGAAAAGAAAATCTTGTATAAATATTTTAATACTAAATTTATTGAAACATGAGATTAATACAAGTTACTGATGGCCTCTACAATTACAAGAGGTGCTCAAAGTGGTGGTTATTAGCTTCTAGATATTTATTATTTTTCTTTTTCTAAAGTATGTGTATAGTTTTGGAGGGCTCTGTATACACACACACGCGCGCACGCACGCAAAATAACACAGTAAACAATCAGTATACTCATTCCCCAGCCATCAAAATTATTCAAGTGTGAAAAAAAAAGTATTCAAGTGTGACCTGAAAAGAATGAAAACAAAAAGAAAGAACAGATTTCTCACCATTCTGGATGAAAGAGTACAGCCTTTTGCTAAATGTCCATTGATCTGGACGAGATTTAGTCTTTTGTAGCATTGGGGAATATTATGCAATTCAGAATCATCACCAACCCTAGCACCTCAGACCTATGTGTGCAAAGTGTTGTGATGATCTACAAAAAAAGGGGAACATGTTAACTTTTTATAAAATCAAAATCATTTTGGAGGTAAAGAAAATAGAAGGACAGCTAAAAACTGGGCATGTTTATTTTTCAGGCAACAAAGCCGTCCTGAGTTTTGTCTTCATGCTAGTCACAGGAGATGGGGTTGATAGAAGCACAGGTCACTTATGATTTTTTTTTAAGTTTTAAAAGTTTTTTTTTTTAAAAAAAAAAAAAGTTTTCCAGGGACTAAAAGAAGCCCTGAAACTTGTCATCAGCTACTCTGGGTACCTGGGACTTCCTCGGAAAGGGCGCCAGGATATCCGATTCTCACCCTCAGCACATCCTGAGAGCAGCTCAGCTTTCTCATCTGTGAAATGAGAATAATGACATTGCTCTACCCTCCTCACAGGAGAAAGATACACATCAGCCATATATATATATATGAAATTTCACAAATATACAGGATTACTTTAAAAATCATTCCAGCTCCAAACCTGACCTCGTCCCCGAGAGCCTAACTATGTCCCTGAGCTAGGTGCAGTCTCCTCTGCTTCTAGGGGAGGAGGGACATCTAGTCCAGAGGCAAACCCAAGGGCCGAAGCTTCTGGACTTTGTGGCAGTCTACCAAGAGCAAAAGTAATAAATAAGTAGACAGTGATGATAAAAGCCCTTGCAGTGGTCCTTGGTCTTCAGCTATTTTGTAGTTAGGGATATTTATTCACTCATTTAATAAGTGCAGCGTGCACTTACTTGATGTCAGTCCCATGCATGACACTGGAGTTTTAATTGTGATGAAAAGCACATACAATCTTGACCTCATAAAGCCAGCAGACTAGTGGGAGTCCTAGCTCATAACTTTAAAGTCATACTAATAGGTCAGTGGTCATAAAATTCTCAAGGTGACAGCGGAGAGGTGGTGGCAGGTGAGGCTGGAAAGGTGGCAAGGCCAGGACCACACAAGCCTCACTGATCATGGTATGGTTTTCACCTTTATCTTAAGAATCTATAAAAGTTTAAGTGGTGCGATGTGGAGAGTGAAATAATACAAATATGGTAACATTTCGAAGAGACATGGACTTCTCTGGGGAAGGGAGCATTTGCTGTGTTCATAATTTTCCTTCTATCAATTCACCTACATCACAGCACTTGGGGTATGAACAGTGATGGTTAGTTCTAGGAGCACATTGTGATTCTCTGGAGGATTTTTTAAAAAGCTGGTTCCCATTCCTAGAAATTTGGATTTAATTGGTCTGAGATGAAGCTTGAGCATACGGTTTTGTGAATATACATTTACTGCCCAGATGATTCTAACTATCAGGCAAGGTTCAGTGGAAGGAATAATAAAATGAGATTTTTCCGGGGCTGGGGATTTAGCTCAGTGGCATAAGCGCCTGCCTTGCAAGCAGGCAGTCGTGAGTTCGATCCCTGGTACCAATAAAAACGAAAAAGACAAAAAAAAAAAAAAAGAGATTTTTCCAAGTGTCAGCCCAGCAGCCTCAGCATCACCTGGAAACCTGGAGATGCAGGTTGTCTTATCTCCCACAGACTGAGCCAGGAGTGCAGGGGCTCCACACAGCAGCAGCTGATCGAGCTCCCAGGACCTCTGAAGCCACTCAGGTAGGAGACGCACAGCTGCTGGGGTTTCAGGTGGGGTCCTGGCTATGGATCTGCTTCTTAATCTAGCTGTTCAGTAGCTCTGTGATGAGGGGCAGACCATGGAACTCTTCTGACCTTGTCTCCTCACCTGTAAAAAGAAAAGGTGGGGTTAAACGAGCTCAAGAGGACTCAGGCTACTAGGGGTTTGTCATACGGTCCAGCTGCTCTAATAAAGCATTTATAATGTATTTTATGGAGTCATTCCATATAATGAATCTGAACATGATCATTGGAGGAGACTCCAAAAACTAGAAAATGATATCAAAGGAAATGAAGATCAAGGAAAATTTCTCCACTCAGAGGTAACTGTTGCTTATCTTTAGCAGTTTGGCATGTGCAAGATATTTCAGTGTGTTTTCTTCTGATATAGTCTGCGAGCATCTATGCAAAATTAGGAATCAGGCTATGTATGGCTTGGAAGCCTCCTTCTCACCTAACATGATGGCACGGGTACCTCTTTTCATCACTGAATGACATTTTAATCATCTTGGTTAATGTTCACATCATAGTCCACAAATTTTTATAGTTTACTTGATCTTTACTAAATCTTCCCTTTATATTTAGTATTACTTAGTCTTTCCCTTGTATTTAGTATTTTGTTTTTTTCTCATTTTTGATCTTATTTTCTTGATTGTCTATATATAGATATGTATATTAATATCTAAGACAGTTCTAGAACTAGAATCATTGGCTCAATGCACATCAACTCTTGAATTTTTTGATTTGTTGCCACTCCACACCTTGTCTGCCCATTCCAGTGCTCACACATGCAAATTCTCAGAAACTCACAACATCCTCACCAGCCTGGGAAATGCTAATTTCTGTTGCAGCCAGCAGCCTGCAGTAAAGGTGGCCATTGTATAGAGGAGGACATTGCTCTAAGTGACAACACCTTAGGGAGATTCAGGCTCAAGGTAGAGGAGTGTTAAGGGCCTAGGAGTATAAATGCTAGGATTAAAATAGTGGCAGAGACTGTCCAGGAATTGAAGGTGACACTCAGTAAGCTCTCCTTAGGATGTAGCACTGGTGTCTTGGTTACTTGTCTCTCGTTGCTGAGAACAAAATACCCAACATTAAGGAAGGAAAAGTTTATTTGGACCACAGTTTGTGGAGGTTTCAGTCTGTAATGAGCTGGCTGCAAGGCAGGGTGACACAGTGAGAGGTAACAGTTCAAGGCACCAGAAGACAGCAAAGCACAAGAGAGCCAACGAGGGAGAACAAGCCTCTTGTCCTCCCTTACACTGTAAGCAGGCTAGCGGCCTTCAGGTGGGTGTAGCACTCACACCATCTCCATGCCTTCCTGTTTCACAGGCTTGGGTTGTTTACAAAGTGAGAGGACCCTGGCTTCCTGCCAAGTCCCTTAAACAGCTAAACTTCTCAAGTTGACACAGTGTGTCAGCCATTACACCTGGAATGTACTGGGAGTGTGGAAGCATTGTGCACTGTGGTAACTCACCTTCTCCAGAACTGGTACCAATAAGGCAGACAGTGGCTGCTGCTGGAGCAAGAGGTGGGCAAACAGAAGCCAAGTGGGCAGAGGGCCAGCAAGTATTTGGAGCTCTTAGGTCCCCTCTGGCCTTAGGATGCTGGGTCATTACAGTCAGAGCAGGGGAGGGCATTCCGCCCTCTCCTGCTGCCCCTGTCTCTTGGACACCTTCCTGTGCACAGACACCCCCAGAGCTCAGTTTCCAGTGTCCTCTCACTCACTGGCCCGTCCTTTCCTCCTTGTCTTCATCTGACAACGTTACCTGATTCCCTCCTGGACCCAGGGTCCTGATCACAGATAGAAAAGAGGGCAATGAGAGGTCTTAGAAAATAAAAGTAAACCCTTCTTTATAAGAAAAAGAAACAAAAAGGAAAGCGAAGTGACAAGCTAGTTTCACCAGTGATTTATGGCCCTACCCTCTCGCCATAGTATCTTTAACAGAAGTCAGGAGTGAGCACAAGTCTTTCCTGTAAAAATCAGACCTCGGAACCCCATCTTGCGATAGTTAGTGGGTTGACAATGGGGAGGAGGGTGATTGTGACACTCAGCTGCCAGATGTATTCCCATGTGGACATTGTTGGGATGAAAGATAGTTTAGAAGTTGATTAAGAGCACAGGTTTAGTACAAATTTAGTATGAACCTTTTAGAGCCTTTTAGCTAGTAAACAGCCAGCTGTGGTCTGTGTATCATGGATCCATCACCACTGGTTTAATGTACACTCAGAGGAATTGAAAACAAATGCTCGGGCAAAACTTGTACAAGAGCGTGCTTCATAGCACCATTCACAATTGCTAATCTGTGAAAATAATCCAACTGTCTATCAAATGATGACTGGAGCAACAAAATGTGGTGGGTCCATGCTATAACACGGAAGAACCTTAAAAGCTTATGCAAAGTGAAAGAAAACAAACATAGACACCATATAGCATATGGTTTTTTTAAAATAAAACACTAAGAATAGAGTAATTTATATAGGCTGAAAGCCCATTGGTAGTTCCCAAGGGCTGGGAGGAAAAGGGATTGGACATAACAGCTAACAGGAAGAGGGTGCATTTGGGTGGTGTGAGGTGGTCTGGAACCAGAGAGTGGCAAGGGTTCTAGAACATTGTACAGTGTATTAAGTGACACTGAATTATGTATTTTAAAATGGAAACTTTTGATGTTATATGTACTTTACCACAATAAAAATATTGAAGAAATTTGCCCTGGAGTGTTGTGGGGGAGGTGGGTTGCATAGATCTAGTTAGTTCTGCCTGTATTCTACCAGTTACCAGCAGCCACAGCCTTGGAGACGCTCTTAAATTCTCAGCTCCCATTTCCTAACCTGCACAATGTAGGCCATTGTAATAGTACTTACGTGAGCCAAACTATGTAAGGTCCTTATCATATTAGCACATGGTAGGAATGCTTCAAAAAAATGTGTTATTCATTTAATCCAGGTGTTCTCAAATGATGCAGTTTTGCATCCCAGCTGGCATTTGGAGATGCCTGGAAATACTGCCAGGGACCACAACTGGGGGTGTGCTACTAGTATCTAGTGTAGAGAGGACCAGGGTCCTCCCAAATGTCTTACACAGGACAGATCTCCACTCCACCAGAAATTATTTTGACCAAAATGTCAGCAGTTCCAAGGAGAATTCCTGGTTTAAACAGATCATGTTGAGAAATTTATTTCATGAATGTGGATATAAAATAGATCAAATGGAAATTTCCGTTGGAAAAAGACTGTCAGCCTAAGTATTCAGTGTCTACTGTGTATACAGAATGCTGTTTTTGACATTGTGGGAGATGTAAAGGGGACCTCGAGGAGCTGTCCTCGGGGGGCTTAGATGAAGAAGAGCTCTATGTGAGTGCATTCTATAAGAGGGAGGTTTTACCAAGAGATTTTTGTAATCATTTCCTTTAATAAGGGGTGACCTGAGGTCAGCCACACTACTCACAATCATGCTCACGCCAATACTAACACTTACAGTCCTCTGTAAAAAGACCCTTGAGGGAACAATGTGCGGTTCTTACTCATGTATAAATGTGTCTTGTGTTTGGAAAAATTCTATTGAATAAATATCTGAAAAAGAAATCAGTGCCACAAATTAAAAAATCACTTGTTTTCAGTAAAGACCTAAAAATAGAAAATATGAAATCTTGTATTCACCCATATACTAAAAGGAGGAGACCCTTTTTGCTCACTTTCTACTTTAAAAAGTTAATCAGATTTTGAAAGTGTATATTCGTGTAATTAATCTAGTTCAAATCGCAGCGTTTGTTCTTACCCGACATGGCTGGTTGGCCATCACAGGGGATGTTTTGATTTTGCTAACAGAAGGTTTGGTAAAAGATTCTTATTCCTCAGCTCCATATTTTTACCTTTAGGTCAAGCATTGGAAGACTTTCAAAGATAAGTCATGCCTCTGCTTGAGCCCTGGCAGTGACAGCCATCCTTCTAGACTGGACAGTGGGGAGGAAGGCTAAGGAATCTGGTAGAGCCCAGCAGGAAGGCAGCTTTCTGAAGTTCAGGTCCTTGGCAGCAGAGGGATGGAAGGGATGATCAAAGGTAGAGTGGGAGGTCCTATGTCACGCAGGTGCTTCTGCTCACCTTCCTCCAGAGCTCTGGCTACCTATAGGAGCAAGTGCTTTCCAGCACCTTTTATTTATTCAGGGTCTGATATAACAAGGAATCTATCTAATTAGATCCCCGTGTATAGGGAAGGAAACGGGCAAGTTAGGCGTAGGTATGTCATGATGTATTCTCAATATGACATGGAAGTAAGATCATCACCCATCACTGTAATACAAGATAGTGATAGATACAATTCAGAAATGTGGATAAAACACCATCAGATTTCAAAGGACATCTTATTTCTCATGGGGAGTTTGGAGAAGTCTTTTGTGGGGGATGGCATTTAAATTAGTGACTGTGAGAAGGGTGGAAAATTCATGAGTACTATGACTTGGGCTATGGAGGAGGCTTAAGAGCACCTCTGCAATATGCAGAGAGAAAGATATGCAAGAAAACCAATCTGCATAACACAGCTGAGATGGCTTTTAATGTTTTAGGGGCAGATGCTTCAGCTCTGATGTGCAAACTTTTCTGCCCTGGGCAATCAGAGCGTCTTATCTTGAGACTCAACCCAGTTGGCAGCTCTGGAGTGGTGGGTCTTCGTCAAACATGTTTTGGGAATCATAGTGTGGAGAACAGCAACTGTCACTTAGCTCCAAAGATTACACATCAGCACCTCAGCTACCCCTATTTACATTGCTTAGAGTCAACTGAAGGGAAAGGGAAGTGGCTTAGCCAGCTCCATACATCTCAGTACATGGAGATAGGGTCAGGTTTAGCCAAAATGGAGATAATTGCTCTTTGTTCAAGTAGAGTCGTCCAAGTGGTCTTCCACAAATGTTAGTGAAGATGTAGACAAGCCGAAGTGATGATAATAATGTGAGATTCTGAGTATGTCAGAAGAGATTTTTGTCAAATTTGTGTGGGAAAATAATATGAGCTGGATATTTTGGGGACTAGCTCATAGAAACCTGCAATGCCAGAATGTGTTCAGTGACAGACAAGCATTGGCATTTTCTGAGCAGATCAGGAAGGGTGTTTGAATTGGAAAGTGTGCTGCAGCTGTGTTTAAGGTAGACAAGAGTGTTGGTGAAGATCTGCATTACTGTGGGGCTATCTAACCAATGTGTCAGATAAAGCATGTGGCAGTACTTGGTACCATGATATGACAGCATATCACAGTACTTAGACAGCAGGGTACAGGTTTAGAATTGTAGGCTCCAGACATGGATGGTTTGTGTTCTACTCCTAGTTCTGCAGCTTAAACTAGCTACATGTCCTTGAGCAAATTACTGGACCTCTCAGTGCCTCATTCTCTTCATCTATAAAGTGTAGATAAAATCTTGTTCCTTATAACCGTATGCTGAAGATTAAATAAATATGAGCATTAAATACATTCTGAATAACATTATGTTTACTATAAAACAGGGCTGTTATTATTGAAGGTAACGGAAGATAAAATAAGAGAGTAGACTTCTGAAATGAGATGCAGTGATGGTAGAATACAGGAATAAAAAATTATACTAGGGAAATGTTGATATTTTGTTACTGTCCACTAGGCTTCTTGCAAGGCCTTGGTGAGATGTGGAGCTATGTCTCAGTAGGGACAGGATGAAATTTACAGACTGTTCATCTCCGTAAGGGTACAGCCATCTGTGTTCTTCTTGCTTTCTGGCTTCTAAAGTATTGATTTTATTGTCAGGCATCAGCTGCACTAAAGTTCAGTAACAGATCAGAAATGCTCCCAAGACATCATGACTTCTCCACTTTTATTAATGGAGGGATTTGGGACCAAAAACTGAGGTCCCACAGGAGGCCATCAAGTGAACAATGCTTTTAAGAGCAAAAAGGGCAGTTAGATGGGCTGGGCAATGACAGAATGATCATTGAAAATATTTTATTAAAAAAAAAAACCAATGGAGATGTTTGAGGTTAGTTAAGGAATGTCTCCTCCTCTGTAGGGGTTTGAGAGGAGAAGCAGGGAGGCTTCTAGGGCAAGACTTCCTGCCTCTTCCTTTCTAACATTGACTATAAAACTCCAAGCTGAAATGTTTTGCTCTTCTTTGATACCCTAGTCAAGGATCAGCCTGTTTCAATTTAATGCATGTGTAAGAAGAGAGATGAAGTTTTCAAGGGCTGGGGCAGATTTGAAAAAAGAGATAAGGCTTTATCCTTGTAAGATTAAACAATCATCGAGGTTTAAAGGTTTAATCTGCTGGAGTTCAGCCCAGGATAGAGTTCAGAGACCTAGGATAATTGGATGCAGCCTCAGACTTTGAACATCAGAGGTAGTTGGTGTGCCTGTGTGTGTGCCTCTGTGTGCCTGTGTGTATGCGTGTGTGCGCGTGCGTGTGCGTGCGTGTGTGTGTGTGTGTGTGTGTGTGTGTGTGTGTATTGTACTAGTAAGTAGGAGCAGTGTCTCCTTTGCTATGTGACAGGGCAGAAAGAATAAAGCCGGCTGCCCCTGCCTCCCTGATCCTCAGTGACTGCTTCTGGGGGTTGCTGCGCACATGAATGTGCGCTATTGTTTCAGGCACACGCCAGCCTTAAGAAATAGCACAAAACAGGCCCGTCCTTATTCAGCAGCAGAGCCCCCTCCATCACTCAAACCGGCCCTTCCAGGTCACATGTCGGGGCCTCTGCAGACAGGACGCAGCTGCCTCAAATCTGCTGCCTAACATTAGCTGCGCTTCGAAAACCCCAACAGCAAGGAGCTTCCCAGACTCCACAGGGGAAACTAGAGAGAGCTGAGGCCAGGCACTATGTTCTCCCAGGAACTGTGGCTGGAAAATGAGAAAAAGTGTGCGGTGGTTCGGAAGTCTAAGCAAGGCAGGAAGCGCCAAGAGCTCCTGGCCGTGGCCTTAGGGGTGAAGGTGGGAGTCAGAGGCAGCCTGCTCTGGCCTCCTCTCAAACTGTTTGCCTGTCCACAGATCTCCTCCTTGGTTCGAAGGGCTGCCCTTACACACAGCGACAACCACTTCAACTATGAGAAGACACACAACTTCAAGGTAAGCCGGTGTCCTTTCTTCCGCCCTGTCAGGGCAGGCGGGGAGGTATTGTGGATGCTCTCCATCTGGTCTCTGGTGTTAATGACAGGAGACTGAAAAGTCCTTTGTTTTTCACATTTAGCTTCATGCTTACCACTGTACCTTTGTATCTTATCCAAATGGAGTCTTTAGAAGACATTGGGTTTTATCCTTGTGCCTGGAAACACCTACATGATATTGACAATTCTCAAGAATTAGGCCTATTTCCTCTTCATCTCCCATGTCCAGTGGGCAGGGAGGGGGGACGACGACAGGGCCTGCCCGATCTGTGGCATTTACAGAAGCCCGGTGAAAGGCCAGCAGTACTTTTCCACTCAGAGTAGCTATAAAAGAGTATTGCTGTTCCTGACCAAGAGAGAACAGTTGCCGGTTTCAGATTTTGTGTTTTGTCTTTTGTTTTCAGCGATGCTAACTCCCTTCATTTGTGTGTAGACAGCTGTGAAAGCAAACAGGGACAAGAGCTCCCATCCAGTGCCTTTTGTGTGTGCTCTGTGCACAGGGCTCTCTCTAAGCCTGGCCAGGCTGGATCCTCTTCTCCAGACCAAACAAAAGATAGGATGACCTGGTGGGAGGTTAAATGGATTTTCCCATGTGGATTTACAAGTGGGGAAGACTATTATCTCTACTTCAGACCAGCACTGCAGATCTGACCTTTTATCGGAAAATGATGGCCTGTTTCCTTCACCCCACCCACCCGTGTTGTCCGGGAGGGGCTTGTAAGGGAATCTGATGCCTAACGGGAAACTCTGAGAGGAGGAAAGGCTAGACAGGCTAGAGCTGGAGATTTACCTCAGCAAAAGAGCAGATGCTTTGGAAATGGGAGAAATTAGAGTTAAAGGATCCAGGAATTAAAAAATAAGCAGGAGATGCAAAATGTGAATAACCATCTTTCTTTAACTCCAATTTTCATTAGGGTCAATAGTCCAAATGACTGTTGGAAATAGGTAATCCTTGGTCAGAGACAAAAAAGGAAACCAGTTTTCTTGCTGAGAACAAGTGCGCATCAATCAAATACACATTTGTGTTAGCTCGATCTGTTTCCCACTTCTGTTTTTAGAAAGCAAGGGTTTCAGGCGTTTGCATGCTGTCCTTGAACCCAGGGGTGGAATGATTCAGCCCTACGCGTATTTAGCACTGGGATAAACAATTGCATTGTATAGGTCTTCTTCCATCTCAAGATTCTTGATGTCTCTCCCATCATGGAATGTGACAGATCTAATTTGGAGTATATAAAGTCTAGGGACTTTTTTTGTTCTTCCTGTTTTGTACTTCCATCCTCATTAACCTTTTTACCTTAAAAAAGTGTTTTTCTGACTTTTGGCAGAAATCTCTGATTCTTTTGCTTCCTGTGGATGCACTAACTTGGGTGAGAGGGTGGATCTTCTTGGACTTGTAAATCCTTTTCCTGTTTCTCAAAAATTACAATTGGTTCTTCTTTAAGATTTAATCAAAATTATGCCTTACTATAAAGTTTTCATGGAATAGATTCTCCCTCTACATCCTGTGTCTGAGCTGAGGTTAAAAGCACATGTGTATATTTAGTGGATTGTCAGGGGTTTTTTATGTCTTATATCTCTGATGGGAAATTACTCTTAAGGCATTTTAAAACAAAAAGATAGTTGAATCTTATTTCTTAAATATTGCTTTCATTAATGTGATGTCTTAAATATGTGTCCTTAGAAAGCACCAGCAGCTTTTTAAATGTTGGCTTAAGAACTCAGAATCTATTCAGTGTGCCTTCTTCTAACTTCAGCTATTGGGAGAAGGAAAGGCTCAGAGTAGGCCTGCTAGCCAAGAAGAAGACACATAAACCAGGCAGGAGCGTGTCTCTCCATGTTTTAAATAGGCGTCTGAAACTTGCCAAACCCTGGTGTAGCTTGTGGCTTTGAATGGTACTGTCCGTGCCACTGTCCACTAAGAATGAGTGGCTGGGACCAGCAGAGGCGTTCCCTTTGTCATTCCTGGCCCCTTCTACTCCATCGTTTTGCTTTCTCTTCACCCTCAATGAACAGAAAGTGGAAACTTTGTATGGGCTTTGGAAGAATATTCTAAAAGCAAGTCTGTGCTATAATTAACAACAGTGGAGTTTTAGTAACAAGCCACCACCAAAGGAAAAAAATCTCATACAGAGGTCCCACCAATTTGCTTGAGGACTGTGTTTTACATCTTCATTTTACATTAGCTTTTTATTTATGTGAATTTCTAATAGTTTTTATTCTGGAACTTTCTTGATTTGTATTCAGGTTGTTACCTGAAGATATTATGTCCTCCATAGAGTAAGTGTTCAATAAGAAGAATGAATGTTCATATTTTTATGCTTGCCAACAAATATGCTTTACTAGCTCCCATCCACACTCTTCCCATACACACTCCTGAAGTTCACATATGCCAGAAGAGCCAGAGGTCTCACCCCACGAGAAGAATTTTTCCCTTAGTCAGTCTGTTCCACTAGTACAAGGTCTTCTTCCTTATTCTATCCAAGAACTTCATTAAGAAAAGTGGGAGAGGCTGCTCCTATGTACAGTTCATATGTACTGTGCTGCTTTTCAAACAAGCACATCTAGGACAAACCCAAATTGAGCCAGAATAAATGCTTTTGAATCCAAACTACAGTTATGCTTCACTTTCTGTAATAATTATGCACAGTCCTTTTAAAACATTATACTGATGCAACTTAATGCTTATAGTAGGCCTGAATATTTTAGGGTTACTTGTACCTACTGGGCACCCTTGAAGAGGTATTTATTGAAGGAATGGTGAAATTAGTAGGCTGCTCTCTAAAATGAAAATTGTCAATAGAAAAACCACTCCACTATTCAATCCTTTTACAATTACAACTCTATTCTCCTATCTGACTGAAAGAGGCACTCTCCTGAAGATGGAACAGTCTCTTTTAATGGACTACCCCAATAACATCGTGTGGCTGAGCTCTTAAAAATATCTGGAACGGCAAACCCACAGCCCAACAATCTGATTGGCTGTTGTTCCTGTCCAATCTTGGCAGGTTGCTGTAGCCGGCTTAGCATTCTTAACAACCCATGACCTTTAGTAAAGATGTGAGTTCCTTAAGCTCAGTTTCCTCATCGGCAAAATGGAAATACTATGAGGTTTAAAGAACAACTGCAAATTACTTATCCTCATCTATGGCACCTTATAACAAGTATTCATGATTGACATCTATTATTATTTTATTATTTATATGTGTATCTCTCCCTTCTCCCAATTAAAAAAAAATTTAGATAGCTAGAGACAGACAGAGACTATATTAATTGGCTGTCATAATGATTGATCACAAACTTGGTGGTTTAAAAAATAAATTTTTATATTCTCACAGATTTTGAGGCTAACCATGTGAAGCCAAGGAATGGGCTGGGGTGCTTCCTTCTAAAGGTTCTGTAGTTCTCCCATGTCTCGTCCCCACCTTCTGGTGATGACTGGGAATCTGGGAAGCTCCTTTGTCTGCACTGCGGGCAGATAACATCACTGCAGCTTCTGCCTCCATCTTCACTCCATCATTTCCTCTCTAGGTCTGACTCAAATCGCATAGAGTTATAGGCTCATTACCATTTAGACTCGGGGTCTACCCTACTCCCAGATGACCTTGTTTTAATTGTGTCCTCAAGGACCCTATTTCTATGAGGCCATATTAATAGAGCCCACAGGTGAGGATGTGAGTGTGTTTTTCTGGGGGAACACATTTCAGCCCAGGACTAGGACTGATTTGATAGTCTCAGAAGCCTTTAATCGGAAGGATTTCTAGCTTTATCCCAAAGGAGACATCATCAGAACTGTGAGTTAAAGTTCACTACTTTATCAAAGGGTTTTGTGTCAACCCTAAAAAACGTTCTAATCTAATTGCTAAGTGCCAGTCCCTTGGTCCAGACATGGCCTGTGACTTCAAGAAAAGTTTCGTTGATTTTTGTTGTTGTTGGTATTGTTAATGCTTCATTGCTGTGATAGAAATTGATGAAATTTGGTCATTCCTGGCTTCTAATTTTTCCTAAGTATTTTTTTTTCATGAAGAGAAATATAGTAAGAGCATCAAGAATCTTTAAAATACCTAGTTACCTTCCATTTTTAGTAGTAAATCAGAAATACCTCTTTGTTTTGGTTGATTCATATTTAGAGAATATATACTTTAGTGAACTATGGTGTAGCTATTAGTTCTCATTAATATACTCAGTGACGCGAGACTGGCTATGTAATTAATGGGGCCCAGTGCAAAATGTAAATGAGATATCCCTGGTTAAATATTACAGAGAATTTCAAGACTGTGACATCAGAGCATTAAGCCAAGGATGGCTCCTTCTCAGTGCAGGGCTGCATGTGACTGTACAGCCACAGCCCAGAAGCTGCCCAGGGTGATGGATATAGAACAGGCATCATGAAGACCCCATTTCCACGGGCATTCCAATGGAGGCGCCCGCTGGTGCCAGGACCAGTGGAGGAAGCAGCCTGGCTGTCTTCACCCTTAACAGAGGCTCATGAGGGACTAGGAATGAGCCCCACCCTGATAAGGAAATAAATAAACTTGAAGTATACAAATTGAAGAGTATCTGGGTGGTATAAGCCACCCAAAAGAAGACTCAGAGCCCAAAATGAGCTAGGTGTGAACAGAGTGCAGAGCAGAGACCATGGGGCAGAGGGGGCTCATGTTCATTAGGCATGGGCTCACCAAAGCCTTCTGGAGGCCTCAGCCTGCCCTCTCTGCACTGCGTCCACATCCCTCTGCCACCCAATTCTCCCCCACAGGTTCCAAGATACCCTCCCTCCTTCTGCATGAAATAAGGATGGAGGGCCGAGACCTAGAAATTTCTAAAGTTCAAGGGCAGACCAGCCTGACCCACCTCCCAGGTGCGGCCCCCATTCTGTGCCACACCTCTTTTCTCCACAAGCAGGGTCATTGACTGCTGGATATGTTTCCTAGTAGTCTGCCTTCCCCTGGCCCCGGGGGACACCCC